TGATCTATACATAGTGACAACTTCCCTTTGATGTCATTTGCATTGCCCACACTCCATACTCTGCATGAAAGAAGGGCTTTCCTTGTTTCCTTGTCCTTCCTGAACTCCTGGGTGGACTCTTTCTGCTGAGATATTTGTTAAATACTGAGACATTCTTCCTGTCTCCCATGGCAGGGAGATCTGAAATCTCAGACCACAGAGACCATTGATTTATTTGAATGGTGCTGATTTGTCTCTAAGAATGGGTTAAAATATTAATACACTTTCTCCCATCCCTACCCCTTCTCTGTTGTTTAGTATTCTTTTTGCAGATGTTAAAGGATTTACCAACCTCTCCACGACCTTGTCCGCTCAGGAGCTGGTCAGGATGCTCAACGAGCTCTTTGCCAGATTTGATCGACTGGCCCATGTGAGTTGAATTTAATTCCCTCCTATTCTTTTGCAGGAGTGAGGGACTGCATGTGGTATTAGAGAAAGACGGATTCGGCCTTCATGACCAGTGTCATTACTGTTCTGCCTTCCATCCCTGGGCATGGACCACTGACCCTCTCACATTCTGGGGACAAATGTTAGTTATTTACAGGTCTCGGGTGGGAGGTTTGTCAGGTTAATTCTCCCACTTAAAAGACGGCTGGTTGAGAGACAATCAAACCAAAGTTCTTTTTTATCTGCATTCCACTCCCCCACTTTTATTTCACGCTGCAGGCGGCAGGTGCCATCCAGCTGCAGCCTCAGAGCTCACACATAGCCAGCCCCGGCCATCTGGAGTGAATTAGCCAGTTCTCAAAAACCTGTAATCTGCTGGACCCTTCCACCACCATTTTGTCAGACATAACTTAAAACCTTTGTTTTTAGCCAACAAGACTCCACCTTCATTTTTCAGCTGGCTCGATCAGAGCTAAACCAGAAAACAGACTGAAGGAGATGGGCATTTGCTATCAAAACACAGATTCATAATCCTAAAACCACTCAAGTTACAGAGGAATATCATTATCACACTGTATTTTGGGCTCAAATAGGCATGATTTAATTTCCTCCTTTATAAAGTGCATATATTGTCACCAACTTCACAAGGCAGTAGTGAGAATTAAAAAGACCACATCGAGTGGAAGTTCATTTTTAAAGTATCAAAATGTTCTATTTTAAGGCTGCCTCACTAAGGAAGATCTGTTCATACTTGCATCTGAGCACCTACTAGGTGTTGTGCATGGTGCTGTGTGTGGGGAATATAAGAATGATGAAAACACACTTCCTTGCTTGCTAGAGTTAAGGCTAGTGAGGTGTATATAAGTGGGTAATCAATGCACAATGTGCTATGTGCTATGATGAACGTAAGCTTGGGGTGCTATGAGAACAGAGGCAACACATGACCCTTGGATGAGAGAAGACTTCCTGGAGAAAGTGACTCTTAAGCTGAGTCTTAAAAATGAGAAAAACAAACACAAAAGAATTCTCTCCAGCACTAAAAAAGAGCTATTCACTAATACATGTGAAACCAATTAATCTAAATTCAATATGCCAAGTGAAAGAAGCCAGATATAAAAAGCTAGATATTTTGTGACTCCATTGGCAAGACATTCTATAAAAGGTAAATTTACAGAGGCAGTAAACAATAAGTAGTTGCATAGAGCACTAGGAACGGAGTGGGGTGGGGTGATTTGGGGGGTGATGCAGCTGCTTTATATTTTGATAATATATTTGATATGGTGGTTGCAATGACTGCACACATTTGTCAAAAGGGTGAATTTTATTGTACATAATTTGTACACTAATTAGCATGGTGAAGAAATTAGGAAGGTACTTTATGCAGAGGGAAGAACAGTAATAAAGATGTTACTGTGGGGCCGGCCCGGTGGCGCACTGCTACAGTGCGCCACTTGGGAGCGCAACGGCGCTCCT